CGAGATTCAAGAATCAACCGCATGTTGCGCATATTGAAACTGGAGGGTCGCTGTTCACAGTTGGCAGGGTGTGGAAGTTGCCACCTGATTCCTCATCAAGACCAGGTTCCTCAACCATTGCGGCTGTGCTTTGACGCAGCCTTCTCCAGACAGATAACCTTCGTAGGGCGACTCCTTTTGATGAAGGCCTTTCTTTCGGCAATCGCTTCAAGGTACCTGGTGCCGGTCCGGCCTTCTCAAATTCAACAGAACCAAGTGGTTGGCTTGAAGGATTGAATATGTTCAAGCTCAAGAGTTATTGAGGTTTGGATGGTTTGATGATTACACTTTAGCTTGGTGTCCGGTACCAAGCTTGATGGATTGCAAATGTTTGTTAGTACTTAAAGTTCAACAGAGCGGCTTGCGAAGGTTCTCTATGTCGTTCCACAACTCACATAAACCTGCAGAGTGATTTAGGCTGATTTACAATGAACGCTGGCCTTGTTGGTTGGTGTGCAAAAATCAAGTGTAACTCAGACACCAGCCCACTGTGAAAAGCAATGCGTTCTTGGACACCTGCCCTGCTGGGGAATAATTTTGTGATAACTTCAACAGGGCGAACATTTTTTCATGTAAAGTTCAATCCGCAATGTGGCAGCCTGCTGCTAAAGCTTCTAGAATAGTGTGCATGCGACAGTGCAGCAATCAGATGATTTGTGTTTGTGGATCAAGGACACCAAGCAAAATTAACGCGCTAAAAGTTTGCCGCAAGTCTCTTGCATAGGGCAATTGCCTGTGCATATCGCCTGGAGCCTGCATTTTGTTGATTTTCGTGGTGCGCTTTTGTGTATATTTATGCAATTGCATATGAAAGATGTATTTTTTTCTATTAGAAACAATAAGCTACTAGGAACAAGTGCATCGCTTCTAGTAGCAAGTAACAAGTGCCTTACTAGTAGTAACAAGAAGCTACTAGTAACAAGTGCATCGCTTCTAGTAACAAGTGCCTTACCAGTAGTAACAACAAGCTTCTAGTAATCCTCACATTGTCTTTGTTTTTGTGCAAGATCCCGCTTCCTTTGTACGAATCTGTTTCGTTTGCAGGTAGGCGTGCACTGGGAGACTGAGGCGGCTGGCATGCTGTCAAAAAAACGAATTCAATCTTGTTACTAGTAGTAAGGCATGTTACTAGTAGCGATGCCCTTCTTACTAGTCGCTTCTTGTTCCTAGTAGTGAGGCCAGGAGCCGCTAGTAGCGTCCTTTCTCCTAGTAGCGATGCCCTTTGCCACTAGTAGCTTCTTGTTACTAGTAGTAATGCCCTTGTTACTAGTAGCGATACACTTCTTACTTTGGCTTTTGTGGAAGGATGCTAAGGATTCCTGTCAAGTTTTGAAAAGTGAACAGATAGGCTGAGAGTCGTGACAGGTATGGCAATGCCAGCATCAAGTTTGCCAGGTCTATTGATATTTTGATAAAGAATATTTGGCAAATCCTTCTTTTGCATCTATCGAATCGCAATCCTTCTCTTATTTCTTTGTTGTCATCCCCAGGTGCTGTGTGGGGCTTTGCCGGTAGGCTACTTGAAAGCTGTTCGGGCTAATGAGTGGGCAACCTTTGCCAAGGCCAGCTTCATAGGCAAAGTTCATCTTGCAATTGCATCTTTTTCGTCCACACTTATTGACATTTATTGGGTAGATGTTGTGTTCTAATGGATTTGCCGACCGTTTTATATACATTCACTTTGATTTGAGGTTGTGTTGCAGTCGGCTTATGAAGCAACTTTGACGGTGGCATCCTGCCTGGCAGCCAAAAAGGGCACACGAATCAAGGCACCGCTTCTTTTCTTTTCTTTTTTGTTTTTCGCATAGTCGTATGATGTCATACATCGCCGGGAGATGCAAGGTCAGAACAATGTACTGTATTTTTTTGGCTAAAGCTCAAGGGAGAAAGCAGTTGCAACTGCAACATGGGCGAAGTTTGCAAACAGTAACAAGAAGCTACTAGGGGCTCCTGGCATCGCTATTAGGAGCAAGGACGCTACTAGACTAGGGGCTCCTGGCCTTACTACTAGGAACAAGCACGCTACTTTTCCTTCATCTTGCCACCAGGTCTTCTTGACAGCGGTTGGGGCAGGATCTCTGAGCAATCGCGTTGCATGGATTGCAGGTCAAGGGATGGCCTCCAACCTAAAAGCAATGGCCTCCAACCTACTAGCAAAAGGGCTTCTGATAGCGATGGCCTCCCGTTTTTGTCACTTTCTCTCAAACTTTCGATGTGACTGTCTCACGTTTCCACATTCTCGACTCGTCTCCAGGTGCTTTAGAGATGGCGTTGGAGAACTTTGCTTCGGTGCGAGTCATATTTTTTTGTAAGTTTGTTTTGGACCAAACAACTTGGAGTTGTGAAACACAGTTCAAGTTGTTTCACAGTCAGCAGGAGCCGTTGGATGTGGTGCTCGTCCACTTTTCTGCCCCATTGCCCGATTTCACTCGTTTAGAGGTTTGTGGTTCTGTGAAGAATTTGTTGGGACGCACATCAGTGTCTTGCAGGAAGGGAGGAAAGTTTTAACTCCTCCAGATAGGCAAGGGTATTTGCTGGTTTGCTGTGCTCTGCACCCTTCGTTTGTTCACCACGTGACTCTCAGTGTTGCTTCAACGATTTGCAGATGATTAGATCCTTTAGCTTGAGTAATTTATAGCTATTAGCTATTAGCATTGGGAACAAGAAGCTGCTAGGGGCTCCTGGCCTTACTACTAGGAGCAAAGACGCTACTAGGGGCTCCTGTCATCGCTACTAGTAGCAAGAAGGCTAGTAGGTTGGAGGCCGCTACTAGGAGCATCGCTAGTGCGGTTTGGATGCAACGTTGGCGTTCGACCATTGACCGTGGCAGACCATTGAGTTCGTCAAACGGCCTCAACCAGCACGGCACTCTAAAGAATCCACCAACTTGGACTCGTTTGACCCTGATTCGGACATCTTTAGACTCTTTCAAGGAAGTGGCAAGATTTGGAGATAGAGGAGCCAGAGGCTAGCGTGGCTAGTTCTTTGAGAAGTGCAACGTCGATCGACTAGTGCAGGACGACCTTGTCAACGTGATGAGGCAGGACGACCTATCGGACAGTTCCAGGCATCTTGAAGCCGTACAGATCTGCCAAATTGCAAGGGCGGCCTTCTCCTTGAATGACCAGAATGGAGATGGAGCAAGATACAGAGTTCTGTGGTGACTTTTGAACAGAACAGAACTTTCTAGATTGAGCCAAGTTGGCGGCAGTGCTGTTTGAGGTGTTGGATCGATCAGAGTTCTTCAGCATGCTGCACAAAATCGATGAAGAGCCCTTCACCAAGATACTTCAGTCCTGTTCGTTTCATTGTTTCGGGGGCGTGAGGGGTGGAGGTGAAGTAAGTCAGGTAGCTATAGGTAATAAGTGAGCTTATCAAGTAAATCCGGACTTCATGCACGGGTGCAGAAGAACGAGGAAAATTCAACTCTTACTTTATCCAATCCCTTTGGCCAAGGTTCTTTACGCCGCATGTTGTAGATGTACTACTAAAAGAGGCGGTACCAGCTGAGTTTCACTCGTGTAAAGAACAGTGTGGAGAGCGATCAGCAGTGTCACAGGCCGATGCTGATCAAGATGGCAAGATTTACTACCATGAATTTGTCAGATGGATTTGCCAGGACGCTAAAAAGAGAGATTGGGAAACTAGAAAAAAGAGAAACAGTTTTCTTTACATGCGCTTTTCTTTATTTAGACCTTGCTTTCACAGCCCTATGTTCATGATCACAGCCGCGTGCAGGAAGACGAAGAGATTGTAAAGCGAGTCTTACTATAAGACAAGCCAGAGAGTTCTTTCGCCGGCTGTGGCGGATGTGGCTTTGCGTTGGTTTCTCCGATCGGTGATCGGATCATCATATTCAAGGATGCATTTCTCCCTAATCAGTGGTAGTGATGGGTTGGGGTTCTGCCTCAGGGATCAGTGGAAATGGAAGTGGTCTCAAGGAGGTCAAAGAAAGTGAGGTTCCAACACAATGCAAAGACAAATGCGCACAGAGCGCAGCGCTCCTGGTCACGATCACGTCGTGGCTTTGGAATTCGCATGAAAAAGGGCCCCTTCTGAGCCACAGTGCAATCAGCGATCAAACCACAGTGTTCAAGGCTGGAGGTGTTGCAGGTTTTCCATTCTTGCGTAGAGCCAAGACTTTGTCACAACATGATTCTTGGGTTGTCTCCCAGGTCTTCCCGCAAGGTGTGTCATGAAATGACTTTTCTCACAGCAAAGCGCAGGCAGAGGGTTTGGCAAATAGTTTTTTCTCAACTGCTTTGCTCTTATGCTTAAAGGAAACGTAGTGTGCCTTCGTCTGTTCGGGGTCGATGCTGGTGTAACCTTGATCAAATAACTTTCCTTACTACATGCAATGTGCTTGAATTTGCCTGCAACCGCCATGTCCACAATTGCTCACAAATGCAATCGGAATCTCGTGCAAGCAAAAACACTCACACCGAGTGCTGGTGCGTTGAACAAAGTCAACGGACCAGTCACACCAGTGAGTTTCTGTCGCAATTGCGGCCAAGATGTCTGACTCAGCGCCGAAGGACTGGGAAAGAAAATATGGATCCGCTTTGTTTTACTCAGTTGCTGTGAAAGTGACCACGAGGGATTCCATTGTGGTGGAGTTTAAGGCTGTTGCTTTGGAGAAGGGTCCATGAAATTTTAAGGCCGTTGCATGTCTCTGGCCTCCGATTTGAATCCCCGTGATGATTTGAAACGCACTAAAATCTACAATGCTCTTTCTCTGTAGCATCCATTTGCAGCTGTGCATCGAGACAACTTGTTAGTCCAACATGAACAGATTGAGACCCGCTTCTATTGATCTCATGGATTGGCAGCAATGTACTTATGCACCGTACAGTTGAATGGTGAAGTTGTTGTGACAGCAATGTGCTTTATATAGACACAACATTTTGGAAGGTCGAAGTGCTTCTAATCTGGCAAGCCGCAAGCGCTTGCCTTCGCTTGCCATGGCAGGATACGAAGCGGACGGAGATGCATCCATCAAAGCATCTGTTGCTTCTGCTGTGTTCAAAGTGCGCTGTCAGAGCACAAGACCTGGCGAGGCCGTTTTCGTTGTGGGTAGTCATGAGGCTTTGGGAAAGTGGTCTGCAGCCATGGCGTTGCCATTGACGACCTCTGCGGACACGTTTCCCATGTGGACCTCTGCTCCAGTACCATTACTTGCAGGCATGATGGTCGAGTACAAGTTCATCAAGCAGCGAGAAGATCGTCAAGGAAATCCACAATGGCAGAAATTTGATGGAAACTACCGCGTCACACCAGTTGCAGGCAAAGTACTTCAAGCCGTGTCAGACTGGGAAGTCGCTTCGGCGGACATTTCCGAGCTGACGCTTCCGGAAGAGCCAGACAAGATTGAGAAGAGCTCCGAGGCTGGCAAGGTCGCTGCAAAACAAGAGAAAGAGGACTGAGTTCTTTAAACGTTCTCACAGGTTAAACGTTTTCCAATCAGGATCGCTTTTGGTCACTTTGGCAGGAGATTCTTCTAAAAATGGCAGAATCTCAAGTCGAGACAGCAGCTGCGGAGGTGACATCAACTTGTCCCTTGGCCGTAACCCTGACAAAGCGGGAAATGAGCCGTCGGAATTTCTCTCAAAGTTTGCTCACTTTAGACGTGGACGTTGTCGACGGCCCAAAAGAAGAGCAAAACGAGAACAAGGATGAGGCAGAAACGACCATCACCACTGCTTCAGCAGAAGAACCAGCACAGGAAGAGCATAAGGATGGGGATGTAGTGGTTTGTCAAGTGCCATTGGACGAGTACGAAGCGCCGCTGAACGAAGAGCCTCCGACTGAAGAGCCTCAGAAGGTCCCAGATGTCCGGGGAGTGTCGTTGAAGCACATTACGCTCCTTGGCCAAAGTGGTATTGTTTTCCTATGTCTTCCTATTAGGTTGGAGAGCACTCACTCTTAGGTTGGAGAGCACTCACTCTTAGGTTGGAGAGCACTCACTCTTAGGTTGGAGAGCACTCACTCTTAGGTTGGAG